GGAGCCCACGGAGCCGGGCAGGGCTGTCACGTTGCCCCTGCAGTCTCATGTCGCTGTCCTCGGGGAGGGGAGGTCGGTCTCCAGCCCCTCTTGGGGGACCCTCTCCCTGACTCCCTTTCCTGACCCCCAAATGCCTCGGCGTCTCCGATATCCAGCCCCGACCCCTGACCTCCCCAAGTGCAGCTGCAGTGGGACGGCGTGAGGACTCACCTGAGGAGACGGTGACCAGGGTGCCCTGGCCCCAGTATTCGAACCGGCCGTCACATTGTGACAACCGCGCCCGGGTCCCGGGCAAGAACCGGTGCCCAGCTCGGGCCTCATGTCCACCTCAGGTTGCGCCCAGGAGGGCAGAGGGGACCACAGGGCCCGGAGGCCAAGGGTGGCCGAGACCCAGAGAGACCCCCGGCCACAGAGCCCGGAGGAGAGACTCTGAATCGTCCTCTGCGCCCCGGGAGCCATGGTGCCCCCGGCCCCTTCCCGAGTCCCCAGGCTGGCCCCGTCCTCCTGGACCGGAGACCCAAACACACTCATTTCCCCCCAAAAGCATCAAAAACCCTCCAGGAGAGAGAGGAGAGAGAGGGAGTGGGAGACTCACCTGAGGAGACGGTGACCAGGGTGCCCTGGCCCCATACATCGAAGTAGTCACATTGCCCCGGGCTCCCTGAGGCCACGTACAAAAACCCGGCCCCGCCTGGCACCAGCCACCCCCGCAAACCCCGAGACTCGCAGCCCTCTCTGCCTCTACCGCCTCTGTCCCCCACGGGAGGCAGCCCGCTGGGGACCCCCAGGGCCCCACACAGAACAAAAACCAATCTCTGGAAAGTCCTTTCCCGCCCCGGGACAGAGGAGGAGAGAGGAAGCCGGCTCACCTGAGGAGACGGTGACCAGGGTCCCCGGACCCCAGAAGTCCAAGTCATCACATTGCCCCGGGCCCCCTGAGGCCGCGTGCAAAAACCTGGCCGCCTGGCACTAGCCACCCCCGCAAACCCCTCTCCTCAGGACTCCGCACCCCGAGGCTCGCAGCCCTCTCTGCCTCCACCGCCCTGTCCCCCTCGGGAGGCCGTCTGCAGAGCGGAGACCCCAGTGGCCGCAGGGGCAGCCCCCGGAGGGTCCCCACACAGAGAAAAAAGTTAAATCTCCGGAAAGTCCTTTCCTGCCCCGGACAGAGGAGAGAGGAGAGAGGAGAGAGGAGAGAGGAGAGAGGAGGGGACTCACCTTGGGAGACGGTGACCAGGGTCCCTGGGCCCCACACATCAAAAGCATCACACAGGGACACAGTTTCCAGGCCCCCCAGACATAAACCTGCCCAGGCCCCTGGACCCCAGACATAAACCTGCCCAGGCCCCCGAACCCCAGACATAAACCTGCCCAGGCCCCCGGACCCCAGGCTGCTGCCCTGCCCATGGCCGAGTGGACCTCGGGCTGGGAGGAGGCAGGCGGACAGCACAGCCTCCTGCCTCACAAAAACGCACCCCTCCCTCCTGTCCCACGTCTGAGACCGAAGGGGCACCTGGCTTCGGCACCCCTGAGCCTGCTCCCCCCCACCTGTCCGGTCGGACAGTAGACGCCAACTCACCTGAGGAGACGGTGACCAGGGTGCCCTGGCCCCAGTGCTCGAAGTAAGCATAGCACAGTGAGTGGGCCCTGAGCCGAGGCCGCAGAAATCTCCGCAGCCGGGTCCCTGGGGAGACGGGGAGACACCAAGGCTGCTCTGCTCACAGACACACCCACCGGGGCCCCTGGCCCCACCGGTGCCTCCTGCCCCCAGGCCCCAGGGCGGGGTTTGGACGTCCTTCCTGACACCTGGCTCACCCCTGCTGACCCTGCCCGGGCTGCTCCCAGCACCCAGCGGCGCCCCTTGGCCAGGAAGGCGTCCGTGTCTGGTGCCAGGTTTTTGTAGAGCTGTCAATCACTGTGCCCCACCCAGTTAGCACTGTGGTTCCTGGCTTAGCCAAAACCCCCAGGCGGGGTGAGGGCAGGTGGGTGGAGGCGGGTCTCCCCCTAAGGGCCAGGCCCGGTTGCGGGGCAGGGGAGGCACAGAGCAGAGGAGACCCCGACACCCAGTCCTGCTTTTCCCTTTTCTTTGGAAATAAGAGCAGGTTCAAGGCTGTGCTGAGACCCTATCATGGCCCGCCCCCTGCATTTGGGGTGCTCTCAGTGGAGAAAGGCCTCGTGCTGGGGGAAGGGGGGCTGGTGGAATCCCCAGTCCATCGCGGATCTGTGGGGGCCCCCGGGGTCTGTCAGGGTCTCAGCCCCGAGGCTGCTTTCTCTCTCTGGTCACATCTCTTTAATTCTACCTTTCGCTGCCCCCACAGGTGCGGGCTCCAAGGGTGGTTCCCGCCCCGTCCCCTGGGACTGCTGGTCCTTGGGGAGGGGTCTCAGGAGGGCAGTGCAGGGAGAGGGTCCCTCCCCCACACCTGGCAGGCTGCTGTCCCCCAACTCCAGGCCACAGGGCGGGGAGGGAGGACGGCATCAGCTCCTGTCAGAGGGGCTGGTACCGGGACTCAGAGGGCCCAGGTGTGGGGAGGTAGAACACAGGCTGCCTGGGCCAGGTGCCAGCCTGCAGGTGTGCTCAGGGGCAGGCTCTGCCCGGGGTGGGGTGAGGTGAAGGTTAGGAGGGGGGACACAGACACAGCCTCACAGCCCTGAGGCCCGGGAGGGCGCGATGGTGCCCTGACCGCTGGCTGGGGGAGGGTGAGAGCCCAGTGTGTTGAGAAGCCCGTGTGTGTGTGTGTGTGTGTGTGTGTGTGTGTGTGTGTGTGTGTGCATGAGTGTACGTGTGTGTACCTGTGTGTGCATGTGTACATGAATACATGAGTGTCGGTGTACACAAGTGCGCATGAGTGGATGTGTGAGTGTACACGTGTGTCACTCCAGGCAGAGGAACCGCCGAGTGGAGGCCCAGAGGCTGGCCTGGTGCCTGGAGAGCCCAGGTGGCTGGATGAGCTGCATTTACAGGTGACCTGAGGGCCCAGTGAGGGGGCTGAACATGACAGGGGTTTTGCATAAAGTCTCACCCTAGAACAGCCGTGGGCAAACTACGGCCCACGGGCCGGATTCGGCCC